ATGGTCAATGAGAATTGGCTGTCAAGAGTTATTGCTGCTTCAGGATTGCTCCTCCGGATTAATTTTCTATTTAGGCAACTTAAAACTTCTGAATTAGATATCTCTAATACTGGCTTTAGCAGTTGGCAAATTCCTTTAGTCAATCAGCGGATTAAGTACTGGGTGTGGAGAATGCTTCTGGGGATAGTTAAACAAAAATGCAAAAATTTTTCTCTGTTTGGCATAGTTACTTTAAAAATTCATCAGTACCTGTTTTTGTCCTCCTCCTAATGCTGTAGTTTTAACATCACCAATAAGTACCATGAAGCTCAGGAAAAGGTTTGAAAGTATTTTAGGATTGAGATCTGTAAAATGTTTGAAGTTCAAGTGATAGATAATGCAGTTCTTATGAAGGACACGGGTTTTGGATTCAAGAGTGCAAGTATAGTTATTGAGAACAGGTTGAGATACATGTTTTCCTTTCAACTAGCTGACACGTTTTTCTAACCATTACAAAGAATGAATCTTGAAATTAAGACATCCTTTTTATTGTGTAGGCTTCCTGTTACTAAATGAAGCATGATGTATCTGACTGACAGAGTGTACTGGTGCACTGCCGCGTTTGACACACTCTTTGGATGAGTGGAATAAAAGTGTTCTTGAGGCATGTCACTTCATGTGGGCCTTTGGCATCTTGAAGCCTTTTAGGGCTTTTGAAGCAAGACTTCTAAGCAACGTGCCAGTCCCATGTATCTAATGATAGTGTTGATGTGTCACTGTGTTTCTGCAAGGACTGGAATCCAGGTGCTGTTCCAGCGTTTATCTTGCTCTAGCAAAGGAACCAATCCACCCACCAAACAGCAAACCCTCCAACAATAAGTACTTGAAGTGGTAATAGGACACCTGGCCAGACAGTCACCTTTGTTCTGTGCAGTGGTTACAAGTGCTGCTGCTCCTGATACACGCACACCAATGGGCAGTGGGGTAAAACTTTTCTTCTGTCAACCTGTCTGCTGTGTACGTTTGCTTTCAAATTTGAGTCTGAGTAGTGGCAGGAGCTTTCCATAGGATATAAATCCTAGTAGTCCACCAGGAAAGCACCTCTCTGTGGGCACCTCATTGCTTGAGTTGATACAGAGAGTCCTTTAGAACCGTATCTTAGTAGTCCAGACTGCGTAATTTGCTTACAGTGTAGAGAGCGGAGAATGGAGGTAAAATGATTGGAAGCTTACCTGCCTGTAAAAAGCCCTAGCATGGCTGAAAATGTCTCCTTCTCTTCCGTATGTTCCTGCACCTGTGTAAAGACAGAGCTGAGTCAATGAAGTTGCCCTTCAGAAATGGAGGCAAGATTCCTTTTGGTTTGCCCTTATTATGTCTGTTGGAAGGCTGTTTGTGAGTTTTCTGCTTCCTGTGGCTAAAAACAAATGTTGGTTTCCAGGCAAAATTAATTTATGGTCCATTTATATCCATTTGTGCCTGTCTTACTTAACTAGGATAAGTTTCTTGGTACCCTCTCTGATATCCTTGTCAAAGGCTGATCCCTGCCAGCCTCTTTTCCTAGCCTCAACAGGCTGTATTTCCTTTGCCTGATCATAAAATTGAATTTAGCAAATCTAATAATAGGAGAGCACAGCTCTTCTCTGTGCTTGTTTCCCTTTGAATTGATCTTTCTTGTGCAGTCTGGTCGTTTGTGTTTGCAGCATTCCAGAAAGTCTCCTGTGCAGTGCCACTAGTGCTTCATTAGTTACATCCTAAAACTACAGTTAATCTTTGTGTCCAACATCTACATATTTCTTATCACTTAATATACCAAGCTCTGTTTATCCTATGGTTGTTTCTCACTAAGAAACCTCAAGCTTCTAGGAGAAATTCCTGTTATACTTGAGTGCATGACCATGTGCTTTGTCCTATTACCCCACTCCATTTTTGTTGCTGCAGTTCTAAAGACCATTCAGTTCTTTGTAGGATTTTTCTGACCTTTCTCCTTGGATGATGCATGCTACTTCTTATTCATCAACAAACTTCACTTCTCTCAGTGACCTGAACACAAATGTAAGTGTGGGATTTGCCCAAAATGCAATTCTTGATAAATTAGAGCAGTAATTTCCTGCCAGGTCGGTAATCTCTGTCATGTTAACTGCTGTCATTTCCCTCGTAGCCTGTAGATTTTCTAAGTATATACATCTTTCCATCCCTCATTTTCTTTTGTTCCCCACCTCCGTTTTTTTTCATTCATCTCTGTCACATCATAACCATTGTGGACTTCATAATCCTATTTATCAGTTGCACTGTACTTATTAGAACAGTAAATGATCATCTCAAGAAAGATACTAATTTTCTGTGCACCTTTCTTTGATATCTGTTCTAGGCTGTCACTTTTGTTAGATCTGTCTTGGGGGCTTCAGGGATTTTTTCTAGTTTTAATGTTTGGATTTTTTAATGGCTAAATACTGCTTTCATGTGCCAGTCTTTGGGGTGTGGTGGAAGGTACTGTCTGATTATGTGAACATACAATTTTAATGCATTAATCTTCATTGGCTAAACCTGCTATTAATACTTTTCTTTGGCCTGCAACAAAGGGGAAAATAGCAGAATTGCAGAAATACAGCTGTTTTTTTTAAGTATGGAGAAGGGGTTGCAGAATTTGAGTTTACCAGGTACTGAGTAGCAGTGCTGGGAGAAGAGAAAGAAGTGTAAGAAGACTGCTCAAAAGCAGAAGGCTCCAGAATAAAGTTGGGCTTCCTCCTGCATCTTCCACATCTTTATTGAGCTGGCTCCCATAGTAAGCAGGGAACTTCAGGCAACTCTGAAAGGGACAGTGAACACCTCATGTTACCTAGAGGAAGGAATATCAAGTATTTATAATAAGACCAGTTTGATGAGGAAGTTGACTTATCTGATTAGAAGTTCTGTAGAGAGATGAATTTTTTTTGTTGTTGTTGAGACTGTATGAATTTTGCATCAGAACCCACAGAGGAAAGAAGCCCAGGTAGTTTCTCACACATGCTTATTTTCACTGTGTGTTTTCCCCTCCCAAAACAGTACCTTTGGATGTAGACAGGGAAAGCACAAAATGTCTTTTGAAGTTCTGGTTGGTTTTAACAACTGTCTGTGACTGACAGTGTAAAAAAATAAAAGAGAAAATATTATTAAAAACTATAAAGATGTGCCTGAGTGTGACAAATACTGATGGGATTTCTAAATAGCACATTTTCTGTGTGCAGTGAACAGAAAATAAAACTTAGTAAACCAGATAGTTGAGCATTCAGATCAAATGTATGTAAGCTTTAAAATAATCTTTGTAAACAGTTACTTGCCTGTATAGTCAAGGTACAAATTTCTTCTTTGTGTTTGTCTTTGCAAACAAAGATGTAGTGCCTTGATTTTTCAACAGTTTTTACCTGCCATACTTGGATTCCGAGGTCCAGAGGGAGATGTTTGCTGCTGGTGGAGAAGGATGATGTGGCTTTGCTTGCAGAACCTGAGGGAAGGCTCCAGTTTTCCCTATCTGTTTTCCTAGATTGTCCTGTTGTGCAGGGGGAGAAGCACCTTCCAGTGCTGTTCTGCACTCAGCCACCGTGGTTGCCATCAGTACAGTGGGAAGGTTACTGACAAATGTGATTATGGAGCAGTTGCTTGCTCTGGGCTTTAAATGTGACAGTAAGCAAGACACAAGAATAATGCTTACTGAAATGAGTTCAGTAGTGTATAATGCATGATAACCTGGCAGCCAAATCTGAATGTTACACGTGAAAAATGTTTGCTTCTAATAGGATCCATTTAGGGAAATTTTAAATATTTTTTTCCTGCTTATCTCTCCTTGTATACTAGTCCTTTACATGTGACAAGGTTCATCTTGCTGTTTTTCAGTGGCCCATCTGAGGCTTTCTTGGGTGTCATCTGTTCTATACCAAATCAAATGGAAGAGGAAGTAGGCAGAAAATGATGTGTTCTCTGATCTTTTGAAGACTAGAGCTGTGATGCTAAGGCAGGGAAGAATATGTTAGGCCAAACATGAAAGGACAGAGTGCAGAAAGCTGTACAGCTGCAATGCACAGATCCTGAGACAGTGGACACAGATGCAACAAGATGCGTGGGGACATAAGCGTCTCTTCTCCATTGCTGTAAATTTACCCAGTTGTATCTTTCCAGTGCTGTGTGCCTCTCCCAGTGCTGTATGCCTCTCCCAGTTTAGCTGCTACCCTTGCACATTGCTATATCCTATCCTCTTAATCCCAATGGAAGTTAAATGAGATTTTATTTTTAGCATAAATTCTCTGATCTGAGATTCATGCAAGAGAAGTCAGTATGTTTTACACAGCTTTAAAACAATCATTCTTTAGAAGTACTCGGTAAAAGTTTATTCTTCAAAAAGCTACTTTCTCTTTCAAAATAAGCATACGCCCCTGTGGACCAGCACCTTCATGATAGAACATTTTACCAAATCACAACAGCGTGACTTCAAGGCAGTGCAGTTATTCACATACTGCACGGAGCAGCGTGCTGTGCTTCCGGAGCTGCACTGAAGGTCTTTTTCAGCCATCTGGTGCCGCCCTGCAGCTCCTGGGCATGGCTCTTCAGAATCAGGAGGTAGCTTCTCATTCCTTCCGTGGGAGTGACGATGTTCCTGCTCTCCCTTTGTGCAGGTTCAGGTGCAGCTGTGATGATATATAAATAACTGTCTTGCTGAGCTCCATCCAGCACCGAGGTCTCTTCCTGGTCTCTTTGCATTTACGCAGTGCACACCTGACAGTTGCTCTGCACCTGCTTGTGTGATAGATACAGCTTTCCTTGCTGGTGTCCAGGAGCCTTTTGTATGGTTTCCTGAGCAAGGCAAGGGAAGGATCCATCCCAAGATCACTGTTAAGCTTGATAGCTAAACCAAGGAGGATATGCTGGTATAGGAGAAATGTTGCTGCATGAGGCTTTTCAAAAAGTCCTCTGTTCTGAAAGTTGCCAGTTGCATGTAGTTTTCCTGACGGGGGTTTGTTGCTGCACAGGTGAACAGGGTGAGATTTGAGCTTCACAGACACAACAGAATCAGGTGTCTTGTTTCCAAAATGGGCATATAATCTCAGTTGATCTCTACACTGTTCATGTTTTTCACAATGAATAGAAAACAAAGCTATGTAAAAACATGATAATGACAGTAGTAGAGGACAGAGTAGAAGGATTTAGGGAGAGCTTGGGACTGTGTCCCTGTGATCTCTTTAGGGATGTCGGGGTGTAAAGTAAAGAAACCCTCATAGCAGTGTGCTGGTGGGGGTAGGGCCCCTGTGAGACACTGGGCGTACTTTCTGCGTAACATCTTTTGTCACTTGCTGGGAGGACTTGCTGTGCAGGCCAAATAACCGCATTTGTGTGTGTCTCGGCACGACTTGAGGGGTAGCCATTCTACGGCAGCACAAGTGGCACCAGGAGAGCTTCCTGGCATAGCCTTGACTTGAATGTAGATTCAGTAAAAGCTGCAGAGAGAGGGAAATAATTTGTACTGTTACCACTGTGTCCACCATAAGTGTGATCCTGGTAGGATTACTGCAGGAAGACAGCAACGGCAGCAAAATAATCTCTGAAAGGTTGCCTGCTTAGTCAACATGTTTGTACTAGTATAAGCTGCCTGTAGACTGGGCCTAAGAACAGTGTATTTGGCAGTGTTTGGAAGAAAAAGGATGTTCACGTGCATTTTTGATTTTCTGTGCTGCTGGGATTCCTCGTGCCTTCCTTATCTCCCTGGGAGCTGGAGAGTGTGTTCAGTGCTGCAGCCCCTGTCAGAGTCCATCAGCATTGTACAGAGCCTGTCTGGTGACAACCAAAGGGCAACCTTTGGACTCCAGCGTGCTCGAAGGAAAGGTGATCTTTGGAATCCAGCACACTTCAACCAGTAAACGCTGAAAGCTAATACTGCAACATGTCCATAGATTAATGGAGTTCCTGTGCTGTACGTTACAGCTTTTACTTTATTTGGAGCATTCCTTATGGATAATTAAAGTTTATAGAGAAGGGGATTGTAGGAGAACATGCTTTTGATTTGCTATTAACTGCGTTTATCTGAGATCTCAGATTACTTTAGGAGCATCAAAGGAGTCTCTGAGTACAGAGCAGGTTAGAATTACACTATCATTATAGTGAGTAAAATGAGGGTCAGAAAGTTAAGTGATATGGTAAAATTATGGAATGATAGTGTTGTGATACAGCTGTTACACTTAGGAATTATGAAGGCAATGTAATTTTACCTCATTATGGAAATGTTAGATCAAGGAACGGGGCTAGGGAACATGAAGACCAGAATGTACCTCCTATTTCACAGCTTTTGAATGAGGCAAAATTTACAGGAGGGTGTACTGTACTTGTACTTTAAGCACAGCTCTGGAAACAACCACAGAGCTGTCAGGCATAGTCTGGTTGGAAAAAAATACTGTAAAAGGTGGAACAAAGACAGCTTCTGCCATCTAGCCCCAAGAAACATCTCTCTTTGAACATAAAGCACATGAATCTAAGTGATGAAAGATCTGACTTAGTAGTAACAACTGATGTTGCCAAGGCTTAGCAGAAACTGCACCATGCTGAGTCAACAGTTCTTCACGTTGGAGGACCCCTGTTGAATGACAGCAGTATAATGCTATCAGATTTTCACATCTTTTAGATCTGGCATGCTTTGCTCAGAAGTTCAGTGAGCATTGTTTTCTCTTTGAAATTCCTCAGCTGCATGGCTGATGTAGTGTTTGAAAAGTTCCCAGGAAGGCTGTGGGATTTGAAATGTTATCTGTCTACACTTGATTTGAATTAAAAATGGTTGTTTCACTGTGTTTCCAGAGTTTTTATTTTTCTGTTAAGACGCTCTATACGTGCAGTTCTTTAAAAGTTATCTGTATAATATATGGCTAATGCAGGTGCTCTCTACACTTGAAAATAATTTTAAATGATTTTCTTAACCTCTTCCAAATTCAGTACTGCTATTATACCACAATCTATTTTTCAGATAAACAGTATGTATTGAAGAAGCGTGTCAATACCCGTTTGATTTAAGAGGCTAAGTCAAATAATTCAAAGACAGAACTGTAGTGCTTCTCATTATGCATTCTCAGAATTATTTAAATATTAATTATCACTAGTCTCTAGTAAGAGCCTTGTCACATTACTTACTCCACCCATGTGCCATTATGTACTCAGATTTTTACAAATAACTTGGAACTGGGTAAATCCAAGTGGTAAAACCTTTCATACTTGATGAGGAGAGTCAAAGAACACTGCAAAATCCTTAGTTTGCGTTTCTTATTCAGCTTTTCTTAATACAGTCTTCTTTAAACACAGTGATTTGCTAACTATGTTTTGTATGTATTTCAGTCCTATAAGATCATCAATTTTGCTCCGAGTTTGCTGCAAATCATAGTATCAGATCAAGTTGAATTTCCAGTGCGTCAAGCAGGTGAGGTAAATTCTTTGTTTCATTTTCTTTCAGTAGAAGGTCAGTGTCAGTTATTTCACCAGGGTATTGAGCTGTTGGAATGTAAGTAAGTTCACATTTGTTCTGTATGTGGGGATGAGGAGGATCTGTCTTTGCCATTTCTTTCCCACATGAGGGTCAGATAAAACCACAGCGACAGGGTAGAGTCCTTGTGTTTGCAGTGATCCCTACAGGACTGCTGCGCTGCTGGTGCGGAAGAGAATTGTTTCTGCTCAGAGCTGAGTAGCCAGGGAGCCTCAGCTGTGCCTTCTGGTGATGAAGAAATAGTGATGCCAAGATGGGTGGGAATTTAAAAAAAAAAGTGTGTCTCCTTTGAATACATGTTTCTCTGTTTTGAGCCCTTCTGGAAAAATGAAAGCTTCTGAAAAATGAGAAACCCCATAATTCCCTAGGTCAGGGTATCCACATATACTTAGTTGGTATCTCTGGGGTCTGCTCACAAAAGTAGACAGGAAGAAAGGTCACATTGCTGATAGGTTATAAACTTATAGGCTGAGCATGTCTAGAAAGGTTTCCCAACTCTACATGTGTGAATTCAAGTATGAGGGTGCAGTTAACTTTAGGGTATATATTTGTATTAGATCAGATTCTAAATTCTCATAATCTATTTTAATTACTCCTATACAATATTTTCAACAGATACAGAAATTAGTCAGCTTTTTCAATAAACTGATGAGTACTGTGTCGTTCACAGCTCTGTTTTTATTCTATGGAACAGTATTTCCCATAGAAGCACTGTTGGTTTTTTTGTACAGATCCTATTAATCCCCTGAGTGTGTTGGGGCATGCTGACACATGCTGTTTGTCATGCTGGCATTTATTTTTTCAAAGATAATCCAACTTTGAATGGCATTGTTAAACCATTCTGTAGTAAAGTTTGATGCATAATCTAGACTCCATAAGGTCATTTTTATAAATTAATCTCTCATTTTAATATCATTTAGGAAAAAAAAATCTGTAGAACATAATTTTTAAAATTTTTATTCCATTTTTAAATTTTTTTTTAAGGAGTAGGGTTATGAAATAGAGGAGCATGTTTAAATTACATTTGTAAGGCAACAGATTTTTCCGGAAATTTTTTAAAAGCCAAGAATTAGCATGACAAGAAGATGTATGGACAAAGTAAATTAAAGTGTTTGACTGGTCTTTCTAGACCTGTTTCTTGTCTGAATGTTCTGGCACATCATAGACAAAGAACAGTTTTTCCTCTTGCTCCTATAAAATCTTTTGCAAACTTTGTGTTTTTATACTTTGTAATCTGTCAAGCACCAAGAAAACTGTTTGTACCTAAGGAATTCTTGTTTATACTTTAAAACCCCAGCCTAGTAATCAACCAAAATAGTAGAGGGATAAGAGTTTATTAAGAACATTCCTTTAATGTCTTACACCGTGTTTCCTAAAGAATGCCTACAGGCATTTTAGTACTGAGGCATAAACGCTGCATTATTTTCAGTTGAAGATTAACTTTATTTTTCATGTGAGACAGAAGGGAACAATTCCAAAGGATTATGGGAAATCCTAATAGTGAGATAAAGCTTAGGGAATTCACAACAGCCATTTCTGTCTGAATAGAAGGTAGGCCATGTGCCAGTTTCATACTGGGCATTTCCCCAAGCAGAGTGTCCCATCTGCATGCACAATGATTTGTTTACACGAGCTTTCCAAACTTCACTTACTAAGCTTGAGTAGTTGTTTCAGGGATTAATAAAAATGCAGATAAGTACATTTTTGTTTGCTTGTTAGAACGATGGAATATTATGTCCATATGGAAGGCTGCTGTAACATTTGTTGCTGTAATAAAGAATGTACACCAGTAGAAGTTGACTGAATTACTATCTCATTCTGTCTGGGACAAGTTACTTGAGCCTGATCCTGTGTGGAATCATTAAAATACGTTTTCCTGACTCATCTGTGTTTGGTGCCTATAATTGTTACAGAACTCACCTGGTGGTTTTCAGTCGTCTTTTTAACTCTTTGTTCTGCTTTCAGCTGCACTACATGTTGAGCACAGAGGAATGTGGAGATGTGTTAGAATTTAACTATTATTTCCCCAATGTTTATACTTAGCTGCCATTTATCTGAAGAACATGGTGACCCAGTACTGGCCGGACCGTGAGCCGCCCCCTGGAGAAGCAGTGTTCCCCTTCAACATCCACGAAAATGACCGCCAGCAGATCCGGGATAACATTGTGGAGGGAATAATTCGCTCTCCTGACCTAGTGAGGTACTTCATACCCTGCAGAGGCATTTCCATAGCTCAGATTTTCACACCTACCAGTCCAAATGTACTTAATGTGAGAATCTCATTTGCCTGAGAGATGAAGCAAGCACTTGTTTTGAAAATGTAATAATAATCAGTTTTAATATATTTATGTGAGCTTGTTTTTCAGAAAGGTAGTAACCCACCCAAGAGCCCTGTCATGCCGTTTATCTTCTTACAGTGGTGTTTTAAAGTGTCTTCTAACACTTGCTGTAGTGACAGCCTGTCTGTTTGGCTGATTTGGGTTTAAAGGGCTATCTGCAGTACAGAATTAACCTTTCAGAGAAATACTGCCCAAGATTTGTTTCCTTTTTTTTCTAGTAGTGCTTTTCTCAATTACTTCTGCAATTTTTTTCTGTGTAATCCCAGTATTTAGATGTGTATTGGCATCTTTGGTTCTAAGATGTTAAAAGAATGAAGAAATGCTGTTGTCTTTTTTTCTGGAAGAACTGTTAAAATTCACAAACATACTATAGTCTTACGATTGTCACCGCTCTAATAAAAGTGAGACTGGTAGGGTGGAATTAGGCTGTAGTGTACAGAAGTTAATCTTTGAAAAACATATGAAAATTTTCTTTGTGTGTCTTCCTACTCTCCTCCAGATAGGTGCACAAAAATATCTTTTTTTTTTTTCCAGTAGTCGTATCTGAAAGAGGAGAGATTGACTACAGATTGAAATTGGGATTAGAGGAAACACTTCAAAACAAAACAAAACAAAACACAGACAAAAAACCACACCAGAATGCATTAGACTACTATAGCATGGCTATCACTGGAGGTCTTTATGACTAGATTAGAGAAACACCTGCCAGGTGTATATTATATATTTCTCAGAGGTTAAAAAAGTCAAAGAAACTGCTGGAACTAATCTGATGTTGTAATACTGCTATTTTTCACTCTGCTTGTGAGAGTAAGGAGAGGGGAGAAGGAACCAAATTATCAACAAGCAGAAACTGCAAGGACTTGAGGGGGAAGGTAAGTTAATACAAAACTAGAAGGATCATTAGGTGGAAGACCCCTTATTGAACTACTTTGCAATAGTGGCTCTGTGTGTAATGGACTGCAAGAAGATAGCCAAGGAAACTAGATACAGAAGAACCAATATTTTCTGCAGAGTATTTTTTTTTTTCATTATTCCTTGGTGGAGCCCAGACCATTTATTTACATCTTCTAGTTCAGTGCTGCTCAGCTTTTTTAGTCACACTTCCCTTTAGTCAATTCATAATACTGTCTTGCCTCTCTCTTGTGAGTGGAGTCTGGAAGTGTGTGGAGGGAGAGGAATGATAAGATGTTTTTACCTAATTGCCTCTGCCTCATGCTTTGGAAGTTGAGAGAGTGCTGTTCGAGAAGATCCCAGGAAAACTAATTTCATGAGGAGCCTCTGGCTTGGGTCATAACACAGGCCAATATTGTTTAATAACAATGTACAAATCTGTGTTTTTGTGGTTGCTTTCAACCTCATAAAGGTTTAGAAATATAAATGTTTGTTTTCAAAGTACAGAGCTAGCTGGTTTCATGAATAAGTGTTTTCAGATATAGCCTGTTGGGTGTGGAGAGTGAGGAGGAAGGGAGAAAAGTAGCTAAGATGTTCTGAAATTAGTTTATGCCTTGAAGTTAAATCCCCTGAGATTTTTGTTTTCACTTTTCCTCTGCCTCTTCCCAGAACTCTCTCAGTGCTGTCAAATTATGTGTGATGCTTACAATGTAATATGTATATTGTTGCAAATAAACCAATATTTGTGGATCTGTCCTGTTATGTGAAACACTCTGCTGTGATATTATTTATAATGTATTTCTTTTTCCCTCCTGCCATAGAGCCCAGTTGACAATGTGCCTCCGTGCTATCATTAAACATGACTTTCCTGGCCATTGGACAGCTGTGGTAGACAAGATAGGCTACTACCTGCAGTCTCAGAACAGTGGGAGTTGGCTTGGTAGCCTCCTGTGCCTGTATCAGCTGGTGAAGACCTATGAGTAAGTTGATGTCTGTGAGTAGATGAGGAATCATTTCCTTTAGTCTCAGCTGATTACTGAGAATGACGTTCTTAAGAGCACTGGTGTTCTACAGGGAATTAAGATAGAAAAAGGGAATTAATGTTTGTCATATGATTCCTTCCCTGCAAATAAATGAAAACTATTTATAATGTTGATATCATCAGTATAATCTGTATGAATATAGTGATGTGTTTTCTTGAGGCTTTGTACTTGTGGTCTGATTTAACCCAGCTGTGAAAAATTTCTTAAATGTTTGTAAATTCTTTTGTTTTAAAATCTTCTAAATGCCAAGTATATGAATGCAAATTATTTTCTACATGTATTTCCCAAATGCAGTACTGTCGTTGTCATATATTCCTACTGCGTAGTGTTACCTGTACCAACCTCCTGACAGTCTAAATCAACAAAGCATAAATAGGGAGAAGTGTCGTGAGTCTTCTCACTTATTTAAAGCAAAATAATTTACTGATGTTAGAAACACATATAAACCACACAGAAGAAACGTGAATGGAGAAAGGGAGAACCTTTTGCAAACAAAGGAATTGTCTTTTCAATGACTGTTCACTCCTGTTTGTTCAGCACCCAACTTGGGTTTGGCATTGCTATCAATGTCAGAGAAATTCAAGTCCCTGCTTTTGTGAGCTGACAATGCAGTAGTAGAGAACATTAGTTCTTCCTCCCAGTAGCAGCATTTGTAACAGGTAACATTTGCTGGTTTTCATTTATTTATGGGTTAGTGAATTTGCACAAATTGTTGAAGTGGCGTCTAGAGGAGGGGAGAGTGAACGAGTGCTGGATGTTAATTTATTTCTTTTTTTTTTAGGATACAGAAATAAAAATGCTGGTGGGGAATAGACATTAGAATCCTCAGTGTGTAGATCCTAGACCAACATTTTTGTTTCCTTTGCAGATACAAAAAAGCAGAGGAGCGAGATCCTCTCATAGCAGCAATGCAAATATTTTTGCCTCGGATTCAGCAGCAGATGATCCAGCTTCTGCCTGATAACTCGCATTACTCTGTACTGCTTCAGAAACAAATCTTAAAAATCTTCTATGCTCTTGTTCAGGTTGGCATCTGTGTAGAGGAAAACCAAAACTTTCACTTTGCTGGTCACAACAATTCCCTTCAGTACACTCATGGGTGTGATTAAATAAGAATAACAGTTTCAATGGGAAAAGTCACGTGCAATAAACAGCTTTTATAAAAATATGATCTTCATAGGTTTTTCTACTTAAAAACTGGTCACATGGTCCCCCAGATGAAATTTTTAATGAATGTAGGTACTTCTGCATATGCTATCTGTAAGCTTACTGGAGATGTTCCTACTTTTATTAAGTCACACGTAACCTGATATAAACTGTATGGGTATCTAAACTGTGCTGTTTGGCCTTTGAAACTACCAGTAGTGGATATTGTAGTGTAATTGTCAAAGATGCACTTCAGTAGGTGGCATTTCTTACTGTCTTCTGAAGATAATTCTGGCAGAAATTACTTAAGGCACAGGCATTTTACATAGATGAGTTTGACTTTTACAGGGGTGAATTTGGTGAGGAAATACTTCTAGAGAATGAGAAAAAAAAGAAGCTTCTACCTAAGCGGCAGCCACTGAGGATTAAAAAACTAAAATTGTTTGTTATTAGATGGGGGAAGGATTAAAAAGATCCCAAGTTTCTGTTTTACTTTTCAGTAGCTTGGCTCAGTATTGCCACCTTGCTTTGCGTTTTGTAGAGAAGTGAGATTTACTAGATAGTAGCTAGGTACTAATTAGGAGTACATTTCACTTACTAAAATGCTATTGGTTTACCCAAACCCTCTAATATAAACACTGCTGTGATCCCTGAAGGTCAGCTGGGCTCTTGTGAAGAAGAGGAAGAAACAAAGAGAGTTAGCAAAATCTCAGACCAAGGAACTTTACTCCAATAGTATCTGCTCAGAAATTCCTCTGCAAATTGTATCAGGACGGATGCAGTTAGAGTAGTATTGATATCTAACCTAATTAGTTTTAATTTTACTTAAAATCTCATCTTCCTCAGAATATAACTGTTGTAGAAAAGTCTTCTGCATTTTTCAGAGATAATAATTTCATGACTGTGGTTTTTTATTTTTCTTATTTCAGTATGCATTGCCACTCCAGTTGGTCAATAACCAGACCATGACTCAGTGGATGGAGATCTTCCGTACAATCATTGATAGAAATGTCCCTCCAGTAAGTTTCAGCTTTATAAAGACCTCTGACACTTCCTTATTGATGTTGGAGGAACAGTCAGCATGAAGATTTTCTAAGTGTTCTTTTTTTTAAGATGTCATCTGTTTTAGATTCTTGTTCTTGAAATAAGTGCTGCTTCTGACAGAGAAGCAGGATGATCATGTAAGCTGTCAGAATTTCACTGTCTGACGTAGTGATGCCATGTAAACTCCAGTCTGGGGTATTTTGGAAGTTTCCAAATAGTTCAGCCTATTTCTCTCAAACAAGAATAAAAAGCTCATCGCAAACACATAATTTGTCTCCGTTCCTCTTTTTCTTTAATTTGTCCTTTATATTTCTTGAAGAAAATGGTGATTAAATTCTTCCTTGTCTGTATACAAATTAGCAGGTGTTTCCTAATTTTTTTTAGACATTTATTTCACAACCCTAAGATTCCTTTAATAGCTTTTGCATTAATATATGCTCTAGGGTGTATGTATTTGGAGAAGTTAATTTTTAAGCCAAATTGCACACCACTGTGTAGTATTTAAGTATATGTCAGAGTTTCCATTTTTTTAAAATATGCCTTATTTTGAAAATTAAAGTACAGGCATTGTACAGGTATTGCATATGTAGTTATATTGACTAATTAAGATACTTGAAAGTTCTTGAATGTTCTATAGCTGTTAACAGAACCAAAGCTTTAGTTGCTGTGCATTTTTATTAGTTTATTCATCAAGGAATGTCTAAAAGCATCATTTCTCTCAGCAATATACACAGCCAATATAAAATAAATGTGTTTATTTATAGGAGACTTTGCAAGTTGATGAAGATGACAGACCAGAGCTGGTGTGGTGGAAATGCAAGAAATGGGCATTGCATATTGTAGCTCGTCTTTTTGAACGGTAAATGTCTAACAAACTGATGGGAAACTGAAGAGCACTTGAAGTACAGTTAGACAAGACAGTTTAGTCCATCTAATAGTTCATGGTCACCAAAGACATTTTCCTCCTGATGTCCTCTGCCTTGTACTGGCACAGCCATTGGCCTGAGCTCTTAGTGAAATGATTTGACTCTCTTAAGGTGACAAGAAACTAGCCTTACAGAAAAAGTAATTTTTTTAGAAGCTTTTTTTTTTTTTATCTACATCTAGCTGTAAGTGCTTATATTCTCAACTATAAAGACCGGTGAAGACTGAGAAGAAATCCATAAATATGGAAGTCACCGAGTGTGTGACAAAAAGGCAGCTATATTTATTTGACTGTAGTATTGTACCTTATAATCTAAGAAAAAAGGGAAGTGGGGCATTATGTGGGAAGTAAGGGGAAAGGATTCCTTTGGGGATGGAATTCTACTCAGGGTCCTCTGTGATTTAGAAAGTACTGTGTTTTCCTGACACTGTAGACTTCTCACAAGGTAAATTCTTTTTAAAGGTATGGGAGTCCTGGAAATGTAACTAAAGAATACTTTGAATTCTCTGACTTTTTTTTAAAAACCTATGCTGTGGGCATACAACAGGTAAGTACAGTTCATTTGTTTCTCAATTGGATCCTTTTGGCTCAACTGTTGATTTTCAACAGTGTGCTTGTATCGAAGTTCATTTGTTAAACAAACAAGAGCAGAGTCAGGCAGGTTTTCCTTTTAGTGACTGAGAAGTTCCTTTAGAACTCGGTGCCATACAACTGAGATAATAACACAAATTTTCAGCAATTCAAAAAACCCTGCAGGAAAATTCTCAGAAAGGGCGGGTGCTGATAAAATGGTATTATCATCATGCATAAACATTAGAGACAGGGCTGAGAGAAAAAGCTGTTCATGCAAAGGCTTCATGTCATAGAAGGGTGTATTTTCAGGCCAGTCTTTAGACTAAAGTGCTTTTGCTGCAAACAACTTGGGCACAGTAATCCAATGATACTGTTTCATTTCACAATAAAGAAGACACAAGTGATTAGAAGGTGCCTTGAGAACAGCAATGAAATTTACTTTATACCTGGAAATCTTATATTATGAAAATGTAGCGTAAAATCACAGTTTGCCAGGAAATTATTTTTGTTGGGGAATGCTAATTATTTGTGATTAACATGGTGTTGTGGAGAGAGTTCAGTTCTGAGAAAGTTGCACAGAACTAGAGAGGCAATTCCTATCAGAGTTTTCTGTGGTTTTTCTGCCAGCTCAACCCTGGGCCCCTGGGAACATGGGCTTCCAGCGTCTCCCTTATTTGGTGGAATGGTTATAGCAGTTGGGTACCTGAAAGCCCTGAGAGTGCTGGGTCCCAACCAAGCTCAGGTGGTTTTGGCACAGCTCCTGTTTCTCATTCAGCCTGCCATATACTAGATGACTGGAGCGGTAGTTCCCAGGCTTTTGGTCTTGGGTGTCCAGGGTTTAGGGTTACATATTCCAAACAGGCTTCTAAGAAGCTGGGGGGATGCAATATACTCTTCTCATGATTCTGGACTTCTGATTCCCTTTGGCCTGTAAACCTTCAAAAACACCTGGAAATTCTGTTTTTCAAGTGACAAGTGTTTGGATACTGTGTATTTCCAGAACATGTGGTTCTTCAGCGTGCCATGAGGTGAGATATCCCTGAGATGGCATCTGCAGGCTTCTTATAGTTTAAATCTTCAGTGTCTCGTGCAGAGTGCCAGGCTGTTGTTGTCACTTTGAGTCAAATTTAAACTACATTTCAAAATAGCAGGTTTGTCTTCAAACCAAAATTACTTCTTTCCATCCAGTTTGACAACAGTGTATTAATTCTGTGTAAATGCATAAATGTTAAGAACTAAGGAGAGGAATGGTTATAGGAAAGCTGTAAGCATTAAATGAAAAGGGAAATGGTCTAATACTATCTATTCTAAAATCCTTCCAGTGTTTAACTCCTGAGTGGAGAAATAGACTCTGATGAGCAGTTGTCACTTGAAGTACTTGAAGTTTGTCCTCAAGAGATTAGGCTATGTAGCAGAGAGAGCAGGTTCATTTTCAAGAAAAATGGTCGACCTTCTGCACATTTCTTCCTTTTCTGGCTCTTAAATGCTGATTTGTCACATTTCCTTGCAGAGTTAGTAAGAATTCTATTGTGAATATTGTATTACTAAGCCTTCGTTGCTTATTCTGCAGTTAAGTGCTGACATCGTGCTAGAGTCTATATGAGATACAGACAATTCTTGGCCAAGTTGTATAAAAGACTTAAGATCAGACTTAGTACTCCTAATGAAGGATTTGTGCTCAAAGTAAGATTTATTATAATGTTTTGAAGGATTATGAAGTAGAATTGTCCTTCTGAAAACATCTGACTCAGTATTTTGTTATGCATGGCCCTTGATTTTTATTGTTATTCATGTACAAACCAATTCTTTACACTTAGTAACACTTTGTAGCTCATCTGCCATTAGAGCAGGTTAGTGACTTTGTTCAGTAGGGTTTTTTTTACTAGAGCAAGCCTTTATATTAAGGAAACTTTGTGTAGTAGAGTTTGGTAGCATGCTAGCTGATGGTTCCATCAGGTGACTACCTGACAACAGGTAGTCGAAAGTAAGCATTTTGCATCTCTTCTGATTCACAGATTTAGGTGCTAACCTATTTTTCTTTTCTACTTTAGTATTTCTATTCTTATCATTGTTCTTCCAAAGTAATTTTGTCTTCTTTAGGGGCCTGTCTTTAAAAAAAGAACAGAGGCGCCAATGACAAATTTAGAAGGAACCACTTTGAAAATCTCACTGCGCCTCTTCCTCATTTATTCCAAATTTTGCCAAGGCCTCTGTAAACTGTGAGCTTGCAAATATTGAAGTCTTTGGTTTGCAGTCACAAGTGATCACATGGTGGAGCTAGTGGTAAAGGTAGACATGGACATAAGTGCTTGCAGGTTTAGATCCTTAGTATTTAAATGATTTCTGATTTTTGTAGTTTACCTTTGCAGGAAAACTAATTGATCTGTCCATGTACATTCACTGGAGAGGTGAAGTGCATGTCTGTGTATGAGAGAGTTTTCAGTCTTCATTAAAAAATATGAATTTGTCATTTCTTTAGGTTCTTTTAAGAATCTTAGACCAGTACAGGCAAAAAGACTACGTGGCACCACGTGTTCTTCAGCAAACATTAAATTATCTGAACCAAGGGGTTATTCATTCTGTAACATGGAAGCAAATGAAGCCACACATACAGGTCAGTGGATAAAACCCAGTTATAAACCCTGCATGTCAACAGAGTGATTAAACCCCCCCCCCAAACCCCACTGGTGTAGCACTTTTAAAGGTTTCGTTCTTCGATGCAGCAATCAGTCTGGGCAAAACAAGACCACTTCTACACGGATATGGCTGGGTTTTTTTGGTATTATGACTATCTTTTATTGCAGATATTGTTAAATCAATTAAAAATTCTGTTCTGTAAATTCTTATTTAAAGTCTACAAGGCAGTCATAATGCTCTGCCTTTTACTAATTGCTAAAGTTCAGAATTGTCTACGGATTTAGAAATTTGTAATTGATTGTAGTACAAAGATAGTGGGGAAAGAGAACATGAATTATGAGGAACTGGACTCTGTTTTAAGGACACGTTTTATAAGTGAACTAAGAACAAGTGAAAAATAATTTTCATACTTTTATTTTTTCATGTCGTAAGCTCCCCTGGTGTTGTTAGTTAATCCCATGACTGAGGAAGGACTCTGAAATCCATTCTCATGTTAAATGTTGCATTGGTGAGATCCTTCTGCAGAATGCAAAGTTCTGCTGTATACAGACTATGTCCTGAAGTGTATTTTGTGCATGGTGCTGTATTATTATAAAGATAAATTACATAATTACTGTCATCTGGGACTGTTGAAAAAGGGAAGCATCTAGACTTTAAGTTTATTCTTGTTTGCACTGGTTAAAAGAATTTTACTTTTCAGAAAAGTAGGTTTAGTAAATTAGTGCATAGAGGAGGGAAGCTGTACTGTAATTTGATTTTATGTGTGCTTATATGTATTTGACTTCTCTAACGTTAGAGTATAACGGAAGAAGTGATATTCTCTCTAATGTGCTACAAAGATGAGGATGAAGAGCTCTGGCAAGAGGATCCATATGAATATATCCGCATGAAATTTGGTAAATGTCTGTGTTTAGCATTTATTTTTTGCTTTCATCATAACTGTACACTGCAGTTCCAATTAACAGCATGGCCACCATAATGTCTGCGTCTTCATCAGTGTCCTGAACAATAGGAAGAAGAAAATCTGTTTCTTAAATCTTACCAACCTATAGTTAAATGAAGAAGGCAGATCAAGTGAGTTTCGGCCTATTGGCTGGTAGCTTTAAAGTAAATGATTCTCTTAACTTTTTTTTCTGCTTCACATGTGCTCAGTGCAGCCCAAACAGACTGACTTGCTGACATTTTTAGTACTAGTTTCAGCATCCTGAATTGCAGATGTGCCAACTGTCTGCAAGTTCTTGCAGCTCTCATTTTGACCAGAAGAGGCCTGACTTGCTCTTTCCGTATTGAAAATCATTAACGTCTTCAGCATTTATTTTTTGGCAGTTATTATTATTAAATAGTAAGATAATTATATATGTGTATTCTTTCAGAAGACAAGGTAGGAAATCTTGGGAATATCACATAGGACTGTATTATGAATATTATTAAAAGAGTCATGTCATTGCAAAAAGAGAAAGCTACTTCAAAAATATATCTATTTTAGCTGGAAAACTCCTGTAAAACAGGTATCACAGAGTACTGTATCATTTGGGAATTTTTAATGAGTTGATATGGGTTTAGCATATGTGAAAACAATTTAAATGTTCATGGAATAGTTAAAGAAAACTTGGAGAGTTGTTATGCAAAAAAATTAATATACTGCTGATCATGCTTAGAGATATGTTGCTGATTTTTGGTACATGACTTTAGTTCTTTCTGTGCAAGTAGTGAATCCTGATGCTGTATGTAGGTGAGACAGTAAAATATAGATTTAAATTATTTTATATGTTGTGTAAGGTAAAAGAAAATAACAGCATGAAAGTACATTAAATGGAACTTTAGAGTGGTACATTTGGGTTTGGAACAAGAATTCCAGTAGTCTGGTAGTATTTCTTAATTATATTTTATCTTCAGGTTCTTGGAAAAAGTTATTGTGTCATTTTAACCACATTTTAAGATTACCTTCTTAGGTCTTTTTATTTAATTAAATTTGTGTAGGAATGTTTAGATTAGAAAACGTTGGGAAACACAGATTTTTTTTTCAAGTTATAAATTCTATTTTCAATATGATTAAAGGAGGTTTATTTGTAATTAATGAAGCTAAAGAGCTTCAGCTTTCAGCAGATTTAGAACTACTCCAGATCCAAGTAGTTTTGACATATGAAAAGTTTCCCATGAGGTTTTAATAAAATCAAGCCAAAATGTGAACATATGGCATACAGATGTTACTGGAATGTATTGTTGTTCTTCCTATACTGATTTTAATTTTAAAAAGCCAGGATTTTTCATCCCTTAAATACATGGTCTCAAAAGAATTAATGAATAAATAATGCATTTTCAATAAAAGGGTTTATGGGTTGTCAGTAGATTTGGAAGGCAAGAAGTAAATGCTTTCATAAACTATGTGGCTTAAGGTTGAGCTTGATTTTTGAACCATGAAATGAAGACAACCTTGTCAGTAGTCTTGAAGTCACATATTCACTCTGATTTTGTGATATCCCAAAACCAATATGGTTCATAATAATTTTATTATGCCATTCAGAAAAGGATTTTTTTTTTTTTCTGTTCTAATTTGTTAGATGTATTTGAAGATTATGCATCTACTACAACAGCAGCACAGAATCTCCTTTATACTGCTGCAAAAAAGAGGAAAGAGGTATGGAACTAGTGGTTTTTAATTATTTGAAGTTTCCTTACTAATGCCATTTTCCCTTAAATTTGAAGATAAATTTCAAACTAGTCTTGAAAAATCTACTTGCTAGTATATAGTCAAATGCTTTGCTGGCTGAGTGCTAGCACTTTGGGGAGAATTAAAATACATGTTTGTATGAATGAATGAATAAATAAATAAATAAGTTGATTCCTCTTGCAGCTTTAAAATTAACCTGCTAGATACGAACTGAGTTGGAATAGAAGTACTGTTATTTTCCCAAGGTTACAAACAGCCTCTGTCATGTTCTGAGCTTCCCAAACCATAGCAGGGGCAAAAGTGAACCTGATCTTTATTAATTTTCACTGATGCTATTTAAAATCCTGTTGACAGCAATGAAGTTGGCAAGAATGAAACCTATTTCATACATCTCCTCTTTAAACAAGGACATAACTTTTCTTTAGATCTTAATATACTTGCGGTGGTCTGTGCAAAAGTACTCAGCCAGCCCTGGAGAGCCTGTCAGTTTGCTAAAATTGTGGGCTTTTTTCTGGGTACCATTTTAACATCTATTAAATGTGGAGCCCTGTTTCCAGATAGGTTTTCAGAGAAGAGCATAGTCTTTACATCAGGTGGAATAGCCTATGACCTTTCTGCTTCTTTATTGTCAAAATGGTCCTTGGCCACTGACTTTCTCATTTTCAGAATTTGTACTGATACTGCTGAAATGTTGTAATATCTAAAAAGCACATCTAAAAGGTGTGGAAATGTCATTAAACAATTGTTTTTGCCAAGAAACCGTTCTAAGTCTAGTCAACTTTAGAAGTTACTGCCAAAATCAACAGATTAAAATAAATTTATGTTTTTGTCCAAGTTGTTCTTGAATGTGTGTATGTTCATACATATATGTACACACGTGTGTGTATTTATATATGTGTGAAACAAGCCAAAAGAGAAGTAAAGGGGAAAACTGGATGAGGTACTGTTTGAGCCTCTTGCCTTTTCATCACCTTTTTTTTGATTTGCCTCAAGACAACAACAAAAAACCACTTTGTTTAGTATCACTAATGTGAATTTTTGAGGAGATTAGTTTTGACAAGTATGGTTGAAAAGTTGAAAAAGGAACGTTCAGAATTTTGACTATGGAAAGATGCTACACATAGCACCTTACAGTTGCACTGGCCAAGGTAAAATTTCTACTTAAAAATGTGATATGAATTTTTGAACTTAAGGAATGCTATTAAAATAATTGGACAGAAGGAGACTGAGTGTTTTCTGTCTTGCATAGGTATTACCAAAAATGATGGCATATTGTTACCAGATTCTGACAGAGCCAAACATTGATCCAAGGAAAAAAGATGGAGCTCTGCATGTTATAGGATCCCTAGCAGATATCTTACTGAAGGTAAGTAGGTAAAGAAGTGAAAAAGATCTGTAATTCTTATCAACTGCCATTTCCAATAAAAAGTCTTTGCTTATAGAGTATGGCTAGCTCTTAGCTATATTTATAAAGTCTTTAGAGAGGTTGCACTGTGCAATAAGAATCTGAGGGTTTGTTTCTTTAAATATATTCACAATATATTTCCTGGGTTTATATTCCCATTTTACACACAGATTTTTCTTCTCAGATTTCTCCAAAGCTCTGTTTGTTTGCTCCAGAACAGTCCCTTGGTCCTCTCCTGCTTTACTAGTAAAATACCAGGGTGTTTAAAAAGCAAACATGCATTCCATCAATAACATGGGGTATGATTCTTTAGCAAACCCCCAACAGCCTGTGCTGTTGTGGGCTTCTTCTCCAGAAAAAATATTTACTTAACATGTTGCAGGAATGTTTTGTCTAGCTTTCCAGCCTTCTTACTCTGCAATGTGTGCTCTAAGTCTTATTTCATCAGCCAGATGGGAGTTTGAAAAATAACGAGAAAGAGCACACTGTTTCTGTCCTTCCTCTATTTGTTATGGACAGTATCTTCAGAATTTTGAGTATTTTTCTGGAATTTGAATATACATCTAATCCACACTGTTGCTCTTTAATGGTTTTGATCAGTTTCCCCTACACTTCTGTAGACAGTGGAGCCCAAGGTGTGCTCTCTCTCCATGTCATAGAATCCCTTTGGTTGGAAAAGCCCTTTAAGATCATTGAGTCCAACCATTAACTTAACTCCAAATCCACTTCTAAGCTGTATCCCCAAGCACCACACCTACACGGCTTTTAAACAAATCCAGGGATGGTGACTCAACCACCTCTCTGGGCAGCTTGTTCCAGTGCCTGACAGCCCTTCCAGTGAAAAGGTTGTTTCTAATGTCCAGTCTAAACCTCCCCTGCTGCAGCTTGAGGCCATTCCCTCTTGTTCCATCACTAGTTACTTGTGAGAAGAGACCAGTGCCTACCTCTCCACAACATCCTTTCATGAAGTTGTAGAGAGCAATAAGGTCTCCCCTTAGTTTCCTTTTCTCCAGACTAAACAGCCCCAGTTCCCTCAAGCGGTGCTATAAGACTTGTTCTGTAGACCCTTCACCAGCTTCGTTGCCCTTCTTTGGATATGCTCCAGCACCTTGATGTCTTTCTCGTATTGAGGTGGCCAAAACTGAACACAGTAGTTGAGGTGTGGCCTCACCAATGCCGAGTACAGAGGGCCAGTCCCTCTCTGGTCCTGCTGGCCACACTGTTTCTAATACAAGCCAGGAAGCCGTTGGCCTCCTTGGCCAGCTGGGCACACTGCTGTCTCGTACTCAGCTGCTTGCCAGTCAGTGCCCCCAGGTCCCTTTCTTCTGAGCAGCTTTCCAGCCACTCTTCCCCAAGCCTGTAGTATTGCCTGGGGTTGTTGTGGCCCAAGTGCAGGACCCAGCGCTTGGTTTTGTTGAACCTCATACAGTTGATCATAGCCCATTGAACCAGTCTGTCCAAGTCTCTCTGTAGAGCCTCCTTACCCTCAGGCAGATCAAGACTCCCACCTAAATTGGTGTGCTCTGCAAATAGAAAGTTGGAAAAGTCACAGAAACAAAAATTGCAAAATGTTAGAAGTAACTGCAAAAAAGTTGCCACTTCTTGCGTGAGAATGGTGGCCCTATGCTGAAGGCTACATTTTAAATGTAATTTATTTTATTTTATGTGAGTTGTCTTTGTGCAGAATGCATTTTCATGTTACAAACAACATCTTACCAACATTTACCATCTATTTTTTACCAATGTACCAGTCCGTGATCTGATCTGGAATCCTGAAACACCAGTAACTCTTGCAGAATTTTGGCAGATTATGTTGGATTATAAATGCTCACCCTCATAGAGTGTGACAGTGAAGGAGGAAGACATTGTTCGTTTTATGAGGGGACTGTCGTATTGACTGGGGGTTTCTAAACCAACTTGCCTCTGTCCTGAGGAAAAGAAAAAGAAGGGTTTATTCCAGTGTACAGATTGTTAGGAGCTTGTGGACACAATGACCTTGCTTTAGCCACCTGGCTCTCCACAGCAGCTCTAGTTTAATGCGTGCAAACCTCTGACCTGTGTGCACAAGCAAAAATTCTTTTTCCTTCTCTCTTTTTTTTTTCTTTTTTTTTTCTCAGTTCTTCATCTGCCTCTCTGAAGGCTCGGGAAACAGTGTGGGAAAAAATGATTTTATCCACTGGTGAAGCAGAAGTGTGATGACCTGAGATGCATTTTGTATTGAATGTCCCCTTTCACCATCTTCCTATCTTAGCCACTGAATCACTCCTTTAGGTGCTAACATAGTCCCCAGCATGTATCTTTTCTACTATCCTGAGGTTACAGGTGCTAGGGAAGTTCTAAGTCTATACTGGTGGTCCTGACTTCCTTTGAATATCTTGGGATTTGCCAAGGTTGCAATGAAGGATAATTGTCATCAAATATCCTTCTCCAAACAAGGAGATTTCAGTCATAAATGAATTATCTTAGTCCATTAATAAACACAAAAAAGGATGGGAGTTATTGTAGTGGTGTGTAAAATAATTAGTTTTGATGATTAGGTCATTTGAAACTCAGATTTGTTTCATACTTTATATTTATCTTCAGGCATCTATGTACTCCTTTGGAGGAAGAATGGAGGTGCTAGGTTATTGTTCCTAATAAATTTTTAAGAAAAATCTACTGGAATCAATTTCCTTAAAGAAAATGAGAACTCCAGTTTACAGTATTGTAATGAATATTACAGAGTTGAATATGTACAGTTCTTTTACTTATCTGGCTTTGAACTTGCTGTGCTTATGAGCCTTGTTCAGTTCAAGGGACAAGGTCCAGATCTTTTTGTGAGAGAATGCTTTTATTTCATAGACAAATCATTATATTTCCCATGCTTGATAGCTGAAATGCATTACTGGCTAGAATGAAGTATGTAAAATGAACGGTCTCCAAAATTGATTTTTATTTACACCAACAGAAGAGTGTCTTCAAGGATCAAATGGAGCTGATGTTACAGAATCATGTATTTCCATTGTTCATGTCCAACCTGGGGTACCTCAGAGCTAGAGTAAGTTAACCAGTTACATCCATTTCTGTATTTGCCATGATTCTTTCCTTTATAGTTTGAATTTATTCTGAATGTTAATGAAAGAAATAAAGCAAATAAGTAGTAAAATTTCAAATAATGATCTTGTACAGTAATTTTTCAACATTTTTATTTAAAAAATTATTTGTCAATTAAATTAATTGGTGAAAAAAGTGTGATTTTTGATCAGACTGGAGAATTTGAGTGGTGATTGTGACTCTTTTGTGACCATTTTTCATTAGCTGATCTGAATAACTAGAGGATTTGGATGGCTGTGAAGAGTAGGTAGGATTTCCACAGAGTGGACAGTGTCACTTTGAGTGTGGCTTGAAGAAGATCCCTGAGTGTCCATGTCAGTCATAAACAGTTAAATTTCTTTAATTTCTGTTCTGGATTTTTTCTCCCAGAAGGACCAAAACTATGAAAGCTGATTGTGTGCTTGATGAATCTATTGAAATTTGGAAAAAGAAAATAAAGAACTGCTTGACTGAAAAACTGTTACATTTACTGTATGAATACACCATAATTAAGAAGAAAAGAAAAAAGCAATTCATTCAGAGAGAGAGAGAGTTAACACTGAATCAGTTAAAAAATGCTAGAAATTTTGCAGTAGTCCCCAACTTTCTTTTCTTTTTGCCATGCAGTCCTGTTGGGTGCTTCATTCATTCAGTGCTTTAAAATTTCACAATGAGCTAAACTTGAGGAATGCAGTAGAGCTGGCAAAGAAGAGCCTGATTGATGATAAGGAAATGCCTGTCAAAGTAGAAGCAGCCATAGCTCTTCAGACATTAATAAGCAACCAAGAGCAAGGTATGCTACAGTGATTCATCAGTATACACTGATTTTAATTATTTTTTTTTTTTGGTAGAGATGTGGAGATTGGTTCAGATTTATTAAAACATAACTACCATTTAAAGACATAGATTTCAGAACATTTCATGGTGTTTAGACAGCTTCACTTGCTCATTAATTACTCTTACTGTATACATCTCAGAATTCTGACTTCAAGTTTTTGTGGTAGATCTCTACACAAAATAAGATAGAATGAAGATATTTCTGTTAATAAAGTAACTAGCATCTGTCTTTGTGTTTTTTTTTAGTGAAGTGAAATAGTGTGTATGTCTAAGAAGGAATGCGGCATATATACAAGGGCACGTATTCCCCCAAAAGAGTAAATTTTTGTTGTAGATGGTGTTTCAGTATTGAATGTGGTAAATGTACAATTTATTTACTTTGTTACTCCGTTAGTTATAGGCTATAAAAGTGCCTTGGGTAGGTTTTTTTGCCTTTTAAATTTTTTTACTGTAGTAGCTTAAAAAAAATATTTTGTTCAAGAGTCATTTACCTAGTGGGTATGAGATGCTACATTTGTGTTTATGGATAACTGATTTCACCTAGTTTCAATTGTTTGGGGTTTTTTTTAGCCAAGGAATATGTGAAGCCTTATGTGAGGCCAGTTATGCAAGAGCTCTTACACATTGTTAGAGAGACAGAAAACGATGATCTTACTAATGTAATCCAGAAGATGATCTGTGAGTACAGTCAAGAAGTTGCTACTATCGCCATTGACATGACTCAACACCTGGTAAGAGATAACAGTAAAGTAACAGTCCAGTCAGAAACACGTGCCTAGTTTGGTAAACATTGAATGAACTTTGTCTGAAATGCATGCTGTTTAAAGTAATCTTTATAAAGGTCCACCTGTGTTCACAATATTTTTTTTTCCCAGTATGAAGCATGTTTAAAACTGTAGGTTTTTCAAAGATACTAAATTTTGCTACTGGTTTTAATGAGCCAGGGTCTAATTATTTAACATTTCAAATGACTTAACATAGCTAGACTTCTTAAAAAAAGAGTTTTTAATTTTCTGTATTCTCCTTTCAAAAGTAAAGAGCATATTTTTTCAGCACTGACAGCTCTTACAGATAAGGCATTGCTGCTGTTGCATTAGCTGTCTTGGGGTTTGCATGACAAATTAGAAATGTGGGTTTGCTCTTGAATGTCAAGTTGGTTGTTTTTTTTCATAGGCTGAAATATTTGGTAAAGTACTCCAGAGTGAGGAATATGAGGAAGTAGAGGACAAAACAGTTATGGCCATGGGCATCCTGCACACAATTGACACCATCCTGACAGTTGTGGAAGATCACAAGGAGGTGAGATCTTTTCTTTTGTATGTCTTTTCTCCTGCTGTTCCCTCATGCCTTTCATTCATGGCAACAAGCATTCCTGTGCTTGTTGCATCACTTGAGTTGACATGAATATGCATTCACTATAGCAGGTTGATGAATTAGTACCAAGTGATTGCTGACAAATTTGAGTTTAAAGCCCAGTTTACTTTTGTGATTTCATAATTGTTTAGCTCTCAACTTCAAGAGGAATTTATATCCTGAGGGTAAAATCCTTAGTCCTTATTCTGGTAAACACTTCCTCCAATAACTGTATGACAGACTGTTAAAATAGATTGAAGCGAGAAATATTTTGCATAAGGCTGATTTTTACAGTGATGAGTCATATTTTGTTCGTTATTCATAAATTTCTTGGATAGAATTCCTAGGAACTTGTCTCCCAGTGGTGGTGCAACATAAGTCTACATTTCAAATGTTCAGGGAAGAAAGAGATCCTTCTGCTGGTACCACCTGGGCTGACTGAGGTAGGAAGGGGCTCAGTGGCTGATCAGAGAGACTAAGTCAGTCAGTAACTTCAAGCTCAGTTGGCATAAAAGTGCTTTGCCTTAGGTTTGGCTTCCTTGATTTGCAGTGAGAATGTTTCATTGCAAGTGCAGAATCTTTTTATGGAGCTTATAATTTTAAGTATAGATTAATTCAAATGCTAATTATTTTTTTCTAAGATTATTGTGTTCCTTTGGATTTAAAAACATCTTTTATTCCTTTACAAGGACCTCTGCCATGTTTTGAAAGCTACAATGAAATCTGGTAGCTAAACTGAGCATCGAGAATGGTAGTCTGAAAGGAATCTTCAGCTTTTAGCCTAGGAAAATGTTTGAGATTGAGGCATTTTTGGTATAAGCTTAGCAGCTTATTTTTCTGTTTTGTGAAGCACAAACTAAAATGTTATGCAGAGTGCTGTTCATCCCAGGATCTTAAATAATTTTGGAAGTGATATAAATGATATAGAAATGATACATGAGGCTGAAAACTCCTTAGAAATTCCTTTTCCTTCCACCATTGTGGAGAGAGTTTAAGGGATGGTAACTTCTGAGTCAAGTATCTGAAGGTAAGTGCATGAATCCATGGCCACATAATTAACCTTTTTGCTAGACCAAGCCCAGAAAGCCTGACATCTGCAAGCTTACGTCTATAATGAATGACCTGTGGTAATAACATGAAATGTCTGTATTTGCTGGTTTTAATTGGTCTTAGAATGTGGCCGTATAGTTCTTGGAATTTAGCCTACTTTATAAATGTAGTTTTTCTGTCCAGTGTGGCAAAGCTGAATCCTGACTTCACCACGGTTGAATGCTCCCAGTTTCTGCACATGTTCCCCTTGCCGAGCCTAGTCTGGGAAGCTCTCCAGAGACCTTAGGCAAATGCATCTCTTCCTTTCTTCCTTTTAGCCCATTCTACTTCAAAGGTTTTAGACAGAGGCTTTATCTCAAACACTTTGAGTGCAGTTTTACTTTATATCCAGGCAGGACAACAGATAGAGTTTTAGATAGGATCTGCAGAAAAACCATAAAGCAAGATTTATTTTTTTTTTAAATAGAGAAAAATTCTGTGACAGGTTTTAAAGCAATACTGTTTATTGAAAATTTGAGTACTTTCATCACTGAGAGCTTATTTTGTAACATTGTGATGGTTAATGCAACATTTAAAAAGTTATAAAAGCCTTTTTACTTTGAAGAACTTCTCAAACTGAATTAGTCAAATACATTGATTAAATTATTTCTAAGTTTTTAAATAAACTTCTTTATATTTTTATTTCAGATAACTCAACAACTTGAGAGCATTTGTTTACAGATCATTGGCCTTGTTTTACAGAAACACGTTATAGGTATGTTTTGGAGATAACTTAATTATTGCAAATAAAACTATCATCCTGAAGAGAGCTTAATCTTTATTTGCATGTATGTGCTTCTTTAAAGAAAAAAAAGTTACTTTTCAGTTACAATTTGTTTCTCCTGATCTCCTCTTATACGTTAGTCAGGCTGGTTATTGCATTTTGGAGGTCAGACTCAAAACCAGGAGATGCAGTTCTGATAATAGTTTTAGCTAGCTGTGTTAAAGTACAATGTCTACAATTACATTAGTATTTTATGGACATGTTCTGCAATTAAATTAGTGCTTTATCAGTACCGTGCAGTAAAGAGCTGCATAGTTTTGTGACAAGGCCTTTAAGAAAAAACAAAGGTTGAGAAAATAAAAGTATTTTTCAGTAAAACATTTAGAAGCAATGTCTTTGATGTGCTGGTAATATAGTTTTCTAGTGTGTATTTTTAATGAAAAAGTATGCATGTTGTTGTAAATATAACCAATGTAAAGCCCATCTAAAAGTCTTCCAATTTGTGTTCTTTTTCTATGTGTTCTTTTAGTTATTCATTGCTCTCTTCTATTATGTGACTCCAGGCTTGACTTTACATTTCAAGGTATTTGCAAGCTCAATTTATTTTTTAAAGGACCCTTCTTCAAATTGTTTCTTCTTTCCAGAGTTTTATGAAGAAATACTCTCCTTGGCCTACAGCTTGACGTGCCAGATGATTTCACCTCAAATGTGGCAGCTTTTAGGTGTTCTATATGAGGTTTTCCAGCAGGATTGCTTTGAATACTTTGCAGGTATGATCACTTCTAGTCTATTGACAGTTCCACGGTGTGGGAATTCATCTCTAAAACCCACCTTAATAAGGGTTGCTTCCATTTAGTGTCTTAGTTTAAAATGATTGTGTATTTGAGTCATGCCCTGACCATCTGTTTAGTGTGGGAGTGCAACAGGAGCATATTAAGCAGGAAAAGGATGTTCAGATCTCTCGGTGTGATCCATTATTGTAGGAGGGCCTGCACTCAAGGGAGCTAAAATATACGAAGTTAATGTGAAATTCCAAATTAATTAATTGAAATGTCCTGTTCTAGTTCCTGTTCTGAGAATGTAGCCTGCAAAGTGCACTTCATGAACAATTCTGCTAGAGTAAACTGCTGCAGAGTTTGAATTTCCAACCAAATCCAAGAATCTGAGCTAATGAATCCAATTATAGGATTACAGCCTCACTGTTTAGCACTTGCATGGATTATTTTGTAAATTTTTTTTCTTCTGCTCTCCCTGTTCTGCAGATATGATGCCTCTCTTGCATAATTATGTGACCATTGACACTGATACTTTACTGTCTAACCCAAAGCATTTAGAAATAATTTATGCTATGTGTAAAAAGGTAAGGCTTCTGATTTTGACTGTTGTGCTTATCACTGTTACTTAAAAATCAGATTAGCAGGGTGGCCTGAACATGCCAGGTGGTGGCCAGGTGTTTCAGAACAAAGTGAAGTTCAGTCTCAGCTCAGTTCTGAGTACACATAGCACCTTCACACTTTTTAAATGACATGCTTTTTAACAAATCACATGCACAAATCTGTGTGGGAGAAGTTGCTGTTTGTCTTGCCTCTCTTCTATGAACAGCTATTTTGGTAAGTAGAGGAATTAATGAAGCCTGATTTCCTTGGGTTATGTGTCTTGCAGTTGGATTCTCTACTTGTGAGCTAAGGTGTGAACTCATTTCAAGTTCATCCTACATTTATAATGTTTCTCTTCTATGCTGTTTCTCTCATGTATAATAAAATATGAGATCACGCTGCAGCCTTTCTCTGATTTTGGGCATAAGGGAGTGTTCAGCATCTAGCTACCTATGTATTTTTAAGAAACTTAACATAAATTGAATGTGTTTGGGAATTCTGGTTCATTGTCAGGTTGGATTGGCACCATAGGATTGAAATGTACTGAGAAGAAGCCATCAGTTTCAAATATATGTGCATACACATAGAGTGGTTGCATACATCTTGGTTTTAATCAGAAACTAGGCTAGAGATAGGACTTCAATTTGCCAGGCTGCCAGTGTCTATCAGAATTGAAATAAAAAACCAAAACCATAATATGGAAAAAACATCAGTGGTTCTTGCAAGTAACACTTCCTTTAAAAAAGGGAAGATGGTAACATACAACGAATACTAACATTCATAAAGAGCTATAGTAGTTTTCTTCTAATTTTTTAATCCATATTTAGCCTCTTAACCTTATGTCCTGTAGAGATGATTTTTATTTGTCTTGATTCCTCACAAAATATACCATGAATAATGTATAGGCAGTGTAGAAGTTTTTTGATGTATGCAGGTACAGGAGCGCTTGCTTCCAAAGTTGTCAGTGATTAATACTGATAAGCTAAATTGTCATTTTGGTTGTTAGGTACTAACAGGAGATGCAGGAGAAGATGCAGAGTGCCATGCAGCCAAGCTCCTAGAAGTAATTGTTCTTCAATGCAAAGGACGGGGTATTGACCAGGTGGTAAATATGCAATGGGTTTTATTTTTACCAGTTTCCAGAGATACATGTATGATTCCTGAGAAAAGCAGTTGGAATTAGAGAATCTGAGGGAAGAGTAAAGTGTAGGAGTGGGGAGAAATACAAGAAGAGATAAATGAGTTCAGGCAGATTTGTAAGGTTCTTTTTTTTCTTTTTTTTTTCCCCTTGAGATTAGAGGTTAGTGGATATGACTGGGAAATGGATATGGACCAAATGATAAGGATACAGTATGTGGTGCAGGATTGTCTTTTTTGCCTTTCTTCAGCAAGATTTCCCTTTTGATGCAAAACACATACTGTTAAAACTGTTATAGCTGAGAAGTTAACTGTACACATCCAACTACTAAAGCTGTTTCTCCAAGCAATATGAACTTGGTCCTTTTTAGTATTTTGAATTATGCACTGCATTTGGAATTGAATAATTTTTAGTGTGGCTTGATTGTGATTGCTGGTGTTGTGGTTTGAGGCTTGGA